GAATAAGGTTTAAAGAAGGGTGGTTAACCCCTCTACCTCTGGTAGTTTTAAATCACAAGTTTCAGCCCACCAAATCAGTCCAAAAATAGTATTAAAATAGAAAGAAAAGAGAGGGAAGAAGTAGTGTAAAGATGACCAAAGTTATACCTCTTAAAGAGGAGTTACTCTTTTGTTCACAAACCACAAATCATTCACTTTCAAAGGCTGATATTTTGGCTCAAGAACCTCAGCAAGGAGCTCCGAAAGAAATGGTTTAGGAACTGTATGTATATTGCAAGCTGGAAAGGGAGAGTATTGGACAAGTTTTGGGGACTGAACCAATTTTTCTAACCTAAAACCAAGAGGGGAGGTCACATATATATAGAAAAACTAGTCCCCTATCAAGCACAGTTGTATTGAGCCAGCTAGTGGGGTGCATGCACTGGGAGGGCCAGCTGGTTGCAAACTATCTGCCAGCCGGGAAACATGGTCAGCAGGCCATGTCATCGACGGCCAATCACAGACAAATAGCATGCCGACCATCTGTTGCCCAGCAGGCCTCTGAGTGGTCAGGTTTGAAAAGATCAAGTTTTGGTCCAAAAAGGGTGCAAGGTTTTAGGCTCTGAAGACTGAAAATCGAAGCTCCTTGTTGAAGAAATTGGACGGTTGGTACAACGTAACATTTCATCATCGAGTTTTCACCATAAGGTGCCCAAGTCTTAAGGGCAGTAAAAAATGAGGTGTCTACACTAACATTGCAAGCCGTAAAAAAATCATCATTATTAGCATTCACGACCTACGCAATAGCCGTAAAAAAAATCATCATTATTATCATTATTAGCCTTAAAGTATGAATTTTCTCCTATGGTTTAGAAAATTACAAATACCCCTTTATCAGAATTCATTATTGTTCTCCTATGCAATGATAAAACTATCCGAATTATTAATTGAAATAGATTTTTAACATCATTAAAAATTGTTAATTGACTTGATGAAAAATGGTCATTTGTTATGAAATTATAAACTTCAAGGGGCGGGATGTAATTTCCAGAACTATGGAGGACAAATCGTATTTTAAGCAAACCTCAGGAAGTTTATTTGTAATTTACCCAATTTTTAAATTTCAATGTTTTATTTTTATTTTTATTTTATTTGAGCTTCACGATGTTGAGGTGTCTTGTGAGGTTCAAACGAGTGATATAGCAAAAATAAGAGTTTTAGAATTCCCTTCTGATCAAAAAATGATCAGTTATTGGAAGCGATATTAAAAGAACACTCTTGGGCATTCATGAACAATACCTTTCAACACAAGGCTATTTGTTGGTACTCTCATTTTAGATGATTAAACCACTAGTAATTTGATTTCCTTGTTCACTTGTGTTCAGAATCATGTAAAGAATGTCATTTTTTCGCTTCATAAGACAACACTCAAGTGGTATATAATTATGCGAGTTTTTCAGTCTGTAAAATCCTTTTCATTTTATTGATTCAGTTATTTATTAATAAGAGAATGAAAGTGCTTTTGCCTATGTAAGTTTTCTTTTTTGACTCACGGTGTTGTGGTAGACATGTAAGTTGTGTTTGGATTTGAGATTTGTGGGTGAAAAAAAAAGGGTAAGAATTTGTGAAAAAAATTTAACTTTTATTTCATTCTCTTATCTTTTCTCTCCATCAATATCGAAATGTGGAGTAAGAGTTTGTTCTTTATAGTGTTTACTCTCTTCATATTTTTTTATTGTGTAGATTTAAGTTATGTTGTTACTTTTCAGAATCTATTTGCTGTCTAGTGCAAGTTTTAATTGTTGATCTTTTTTGTGTGGTTAATGATTGGTGGTTGCTAAAAGCAATGAAAATTGAGCACATTTTAGGTTTGTAGCAAGCTATTTTATTGCCTTCAGGAAGGTGCTTGGATTTCTTTTCTATTTTTCCTCTCTCAAAATCTTCTTTATTTTTTTTGTATTGTTTTGTTTTGTTTTGTTTTGTTTTGTTTTTTTTAGGAACCCCAGAAAGTCATTTAAGGACTCGACAATGTTAATTCCCTTTCCTCCTTTGGGTACACCTTAGTGTACATGTTGACAAATCTTGTACATTTTTTCAATTTTTTATTCAATTTAGACAAAATATGTTATCACACAAACAAGTTCTTTTTTTTATCTGCAACTGTAACACCCCGAAATAAAACGATAAATCGAACCAAGAACATATATATAAATAACAACATGAATCAGAGTGTAATGTTCTTTCACTTCATAGAGTTAATGGTACAAAAGAGTTTAGCATAAATAACTGCCCTATGGGCTTACATCCTTCCAAGTCCTTGCTTGGTTACAACAAAAGAGAGTCTAACTCTATACAATTTAAACCCTTGGCTATACAAAAGAAAATACAACAAAAAGGAAACTCTTACCCCAAAGTCCCTCCAAGCTATTGCCTTGGTGGAGGCATATCACCAACACCTGAAATGTTTTTTCCCAAATAGGGTGAACCAAAGCTTAGTAGGAAATATCTAACACAATATATGAGATTTAATGAAGATATAAGCATAATGTGCATTTACAGTGCTAGTAGTGAAACATTCATATTCTGTATAGTCATAAAGTGCCAAAGTTCATATCTTGATCCATTTCCTTTCAATTCATTTTAAGTTAATTCATTTCATCTCAATTCAGGAGCTTGTTCCATTATCTTTCAAACAACCTAACTGAGACTACAACTCAGTGGTCCTCAAATAAACATAACTATCATACGAATAATTCAACTTGCCATTTTACGAAAATTTTGTCTGTGAGAATCGACACCCATATATACGTGCGGTTTCGGGACTTTCACCTTGAACATGCCGGCCAACTTAGTTTCAATGGAGTCCATCCCCTATCTCCTCCCAAACAATGGAGTATATCCTCTTTCTCCACATAAATAATCATACATATACGATGTATTTAAAATATAGTCATATTCAATGACAATCAACAAGAGATTAGTTTCAATTCACCTAATCCTCATGCAATTTCTACAACACTCATAGCTATCCTCCACCGATAGCCTAATACAGATATTTCTAAACAGCTATTAAATCTCAAGACAGATAGTTTATTCAGATTTTCAAAAGGTGTGAGATAATGCATATCTAACTTTACAATTAACACCAACATTCATCCTATTTCGTATTTATAATACCAATTCATTTATTTGTACAAAATAAATACTTGAACCATTTTAAGTTAACCTCTCTCTTTCCCAAATACCAACCCAAATGCCAAAATCAACAATTGTGACACAATATAACCTCATTTTCAAATCCCATGACTATTTATATTACATTCACTAGAAACCCCTCTTTTGATTTTACATCCCAACCCTAGGTTTGTCCAAAATACTCCCAAACCCCATCATTGTTACACAATAACCAATAACTAAGCCAAAATCCATAAAAAGGTGTAGAAAATCCTTACCTCAAAGTTAGGAGACGAGCAAAGCAAGGTGGAAACTTCAATGACGCCGAAACCAAGTTCCAATTGGATCAAAACGAAGCTCTAGAAATGCTCTAACTTTTTCTCAAAGGCACTATGGTGGAGAACCCAATGGATCTTGGCAAAAATGTAGAGAGAATGTGAGTTTTAAAGAGAGAAACTCAAGATCTAAGTTTTTGGAAAGTTTTAGAGAGATAGAGGAATGAAAAAGTGAACTAAAAAGTCGTCTTCACGGACTAATATATACGCAATCCGCTCGAGTACAAGAAGTGACACTCGAGCGTAAGATACATAGTTCCGCTTGAGCGCAAGAAGTGACGCTCGAGCGCAGAATACACACATTCAGAAGTTTTGCAGACAAAGGACATCGCTCGAGCTCAAGATTGGCCGCTCGAGCGTTCTCCTGCTCGAGCGTAGGAAACGCCACTCAAGCGTGGAATACACCCTTGCAATATTTTGCAGGTCTGCAAAACAAAATACTGAGGGTTTGCAAAGCCCGCTCGAGGGCAAGAAGTGCCGCTCAAGCGGAGGAGCAAAAATCTAGGCAACAAAGGTTTGAAAATCAAACAACCAACCTGTTGCAAATAAGATCAATACAATCCAATAACCAAATTTAAGGACGAACAAGAGGGAAAAGACATGAACAACCATATTAGGCTACGAAATCTGAGTCCAAAATATAAAATGGGCCGGGTCTAAACCATAAACGTTATAGCAACAAATGTTGTTTATTCTAAAATAGTTCATATTTATATCTTTCAGTTTCATGCTTCATAGTTCAAAGTGTGCTTAGTGAGGAGACAACACTAGAGGAAGAAAATTCTCGCAAATCAGGAAGCACGTCCACTCTGAAAGGTTTGTGAGAGGGAAAGGAAAAGTGGGTTTTATGTCAATAGTTCTTAGAAGAGAGGGAAAGGCCAACGACGGTTTGCTCAATCCACATGCATTATTTGGTGAAAGCACTCCAACCCAGTTGCGTCCTTGAAATAGTTTTTCAACCACGAATTTCTCTTCTTCAAAACAATGCTCCTCACCAAATGCCTTTCCTTGGGTTGGGGCAACACAACAATGAGTAGTTGCTTTAAGGACACCAACTTGTCAAGAGTACAATGCTGGCCAAGATAGAGCTAGGAACCAGTCTACACTTTCCTAGGGCTTGCCTTGCTTCATCATTTATAAACTGGGCTAGCGTCAGAAAAAGAACCAACCTAACCTCTCTAGCTTTCTAAATAAGCACAATACAGTATGATGGTCATTTGCTACTCCATAGGATCACATGACAAATCTATTGTAATCTTTTTTTCTTTTTTTTTCCATTAATTTATTCTCATTAAATTTTTTTAATAAGAATAGAATAAGTGGTATTGTTAAAGCAATTATTGAAGCAAATTTTTATTGATGCTTCTCTTTCAAAAATCTATATATGTTAAGATTGTTGATATGGTTGTGCCAACAAAATTATTGCACTTTTGGCAATTGAAAGTCATTACATTTCCAAAAGTTTACTCAAAATTAGTGACCATGGGGTGGAAAGAAAGTCTCAAAGACACATGTTTGAATACATTTTCCATATTTAACTATATTTTTCTTTCGTTAGTTCTTCAAGCTAACTACTTACACATATTGCAACCATATGTAAATGTTGCAAAAAAAAATACAAAGCATAAACAATAAGCAATCTAATTACTACATAATCACTACCAGCTATAGATGCATCTGGCTAACTTTTTTGAATGTTGCAATTGGCTAGATACCAAAGTCCTAACTTTTCTTCTTTCAACTCCTTCCACAATTTGCTACATACCAAAGTTTAACTTTTTTGAGTGTTGCGAGAACATCTTTCATGTTCATCCTCTCCTCGGATGATTCTGCAGAGCAACTCAAAGCTAATTCCATGATGGATGATACACATTGCAGTACAACTGCAGTGAGGTGTTCTTTCTCTGGCTTAAGCAAGTTAGCATCTATAACATGGGAGATTGCATTTGGTAGTGAGTCCCTAATCCAATGTTTCATCGTCATGTCTTCAAAAAACATTTCATCGGTGGGCCTCACTCTTGTGAATGTTTCCATAAGCAAGATTCCATAACTATAAACATCACAGCTTGTGGATACTAATCCTTCCAATCCAAACTCTACATACAATCACAAGAAATATCATGATGTCAAGAAAATTATAGAATTTTGGTGGTGGCAAGTTGGTATGTGTCTGTGGTTGGATTCGTGGTGTGCTAGAGGGTGGCAGTATTGGAGGGGTATGCAATGGTGGCAAGTGTTAGATGGGTGAGTTGTTTTGGGAAAGAAGAGTATGTAGTGATGGTCGTATAGAAAAAAAGAGTAATTTTGTTATTTGGTATTATTTTTAAATTTGACAAATAAAAAATATAATGTGTAAAGGCAAAAAAGTAATTTACTTATTAAAGTTAACATTGTTAATTTTTCTATTATTGAAAGAGAGGTCGATATAATTATGTTGAAATTACGAAATTTATTGTATTTTTATCATTATTCAATGGAGATCGGTGTGATTTACCATTTAGAGAATTAGCTCGTTATCAACAAAATCATAAAAATTCTATGAAAATTATATTTAAAATTTTGTGCTATAATATGAAAAGTGCATGTCTATATAAATTGGAAACATATATAAAAAAAAAACACAAAAATGTGAAAATATAAATTAAAATTTAGAAGTCACCTGGCGCAATATACCCAAATGTTGCTATAGTCTTTGTATGCATGACACTCTCCCCCAAATCTAATAACTTCGCAATGCCAAAATCACTCACATGTGCAACCATATCATCATCTAGCAGGATGTTGCTAGGTTTCAAATCACAGTGAACCAAAGGCATTGAATAATCATTGTGAAGATACTCCAAAGCACATGCAACATCTATCATTATGTCTAATCTCTGCAACATATCTAAGAAATAGTTGTAAGAATACAACCACTTTTCAAGACTCCCATTAGGCATATACTCAAGTACTAGAGCTTTGAAATCAAGGTTCGAGCAACTGCTAATGACCTTAGTAAGATTGCGATGACGAATGTGTCGCATTATCTCGCATTCTACGTCAAAACTCTTGAATACACCTTCTAGTTGCAAGTTGAATACCTTTATAGCCACAACTGTGGTATCTTCAAGGATAGCTTTGTAGACAGAACCAAAACTCCCCATACCAAGCAAGTTGCTCTCACTAAACCCATTAGTTGCTCGAAAAAGTTGTTGGTATGTGATTCTTGGAGGTGTTATTATTGGTAAGAGATCAACATTGGATGGAGTTTTATTTCTTCTTCGACATTTTATGAACAAGAACACAAAGATCGTAGTAAGCAGTATGAATGCAATAGGTAACAAAATATATAAAGCTAGAGCCACTCTTTTTTCCGTTAGATGATGAAAAGAATTAGTAAGGCATGACGGGACTTGAAACTTTGGTGCACCGCATAACGCTTCATTCGACATGAAAGATTGAATAGTGAAGTTTGCAAAAGGTCCCCCATTTGGAATTTGTCCTCTTAACTTATTAAAAGAAATGTTGAGATATGAAAGATGAGACAGTGTCTCTAAGGACTTGGGGATCACATCGGAGAGGCCATTATAGGATAGATCTAAGAATTCCAAGCTCACCATGCTGCCAAATGAGTCAGGTATAGATCCTTGCAACTTATTGTGTGCCAATGAAAGAGTAACCAAGTTTTGCAAACCTATAATTGTACTTGGGATTTTGCCTGTGAATTGGTTCATTGAAAAATCCATTAGTATTGCAACTCTGAAACTCCCAAGCTGTGGTGGCAGATTGCCATTTAAAGAATTCGAGGACAGGTTAATTTCCAAGATATCTTTAAGATTGCTCAACCTTGTAGGTATGACGAAAGTTAGTTTGTTGGAATTGAGGTAGAGATATCTTAGAGATGTAATATTCCCTAAGCATTCAGGAATCAATCCAAAAAATTCATTTTAGTTCAATCGTAGATCCCCCAGGTTCTTGAGTTGGCATATATCATCTAGAATGGACCCTCGCAGTCTGTTGTTGGAAAGATCCAATATTTGAAGCTTTCCCAACGCTTTAATTGTAGAGGGAATGAATCCAGTCAAACCATTTTGTTGTAGATTCAAGAATGCCAAATTGCTTATATTACCAATTTCACTAGGAATGTTGCCTTTGATTCCACAAGAATTTGCGTCAATCTCCTCAAGGGAAGCAGAGAGATTTCCAATAGTTGTCGGAAGAATGTCGTCCAGAGGATTATGATTTATCAGCAATACGTTTAAATCTTTGCAATTTACCAAGGAAGTGAGGAAGCTCAACTCTGGAGAGGAAGAAGATGACCCACTCATCAAATTGTTTCCTTGCAAGCTAAGATATTGGAGTAGTCGTAAATTGCCAAGCGATTTCGGAATTGAACCCGTAAATGCATTGTTACCAAGGTCTAAAGAAGTAAGTTTAGAAGCATTTGAAATTGACTCGGGAATAATTCCAATGAGGCTATTTCCTCCAAGACTGAGGCTACTAAGATTTGGTAGCCAAAGCCCTATACTTGATGGAAGATTGCTTGACAATTTATTTTCTGTAAGCGTCATAAGTTGAAGTGATGAGATATTAAAAATTGATGTTGGAATGGCACCCATCAAATTGTTAAGAGCGAGTACCATCTCTCTCACATTTGGAAGCTCACCAATCTCTTCTGGTATCAGACCTGCCAAAATGTATAAACACATAAACTTGAAAAAAAAAAATATCTTTGATAAGAAAAATATTAATTAAGGCATTCACCTTGGTAACTAACATCAAGACAAAAAATTCTAACTTGCACAATTGACAGTTCCTTTTTTCTTTCTCTTGGTGGATTTATACCTACTGCTAATGGTTGCATTCACATAACTTGTCTTTTACATTGTACAAGTACCTATTAGTATTTTCCATGCACTATATGGCCAATTTAGAAGACCATATGTAGATGAGAAACCTTTTGATTCCTAATTGACAATTCAAGATGCTCACCTAAATATTATGGGAGGAACATGTAATTCAATGTTCAATTTTGTAACATATAAATATGACAAGAAGTTATAAAGGGTGCAAGATGAAAGTTAAGGATAAATCACACTAATAATTCCCTATGTTTAAAGAAAATATAGCAAATTCATAGTTTTGGTATAATTACACTAAATTCTTTTTTAATAAAATTAAAAAGATCAAAACTAATGCAAATGGTGTAAAGATACAAGAATAATCAAGGTAAAATAAATATTTCTATGTAAAAGAGATGACAATATGTCTAAATAATTACTAATGAAAAAGGGGTTAACCTAGTTAACTATATCAAACTTATAGGGTTTATTTTATTTTTTTTCAAATCTTAGATGAAGTCAGTGTAATTTATCTATAAAAAATAAAAAATAAAAAAAGAAGAAGAAGAAGAAAAGAACAATAAAAAAAAAAAGAAGAAGAAAAGCTCTACTCAAAATGTATCCTATTCGGTTTCAATTTTACAATTCATTTTTTTTTTTGTTGAAAAAATAGGAATTAGTTTGACAAAAATAAACTGCAAAAATATATTTTTGAATATCTAAAATTTTTTTTGCCTTCAAAATAATTGAAGACTATGAACTGATGAGTGTTTTGTATTTATCATGATTTTTTCACTAAATTAGTTTTAGGTTTTTTAAAAACAATTTAGAATTTTTCACATAGCTGATCTCAATTGATTAGGATACAAGACTTAGGTTTTATTTGGTATGTTCTAAAATAATGCATGTTATTTTAACACATTATCTTATTTAGATTACAATCATCTTATTTAGGTTACATCACATCTTATTTGAGTCACATCACCTCTCTACTACATTACTCCAACCCCAATTCACATTTCACATTTTTTTCATAAAAAGTCAAACCATTTTATTTTCCTCTATCATATTTTGGATTATTTTGTGCTCTCTTATGTTGGTTTGGAGATGGTATGAGAGATGAGACTTGTACTATGAATGGTTGACTTATGCTATGGATGGATGGAAAATACTATGATACACATATGTTAGTTACAATATTTATAAGTTTGATTATTATAAATGATATAATTCAATATTATGGGAGTTGTAACATAAAAAAAAAAATTGAATTATCACTGAATATCACATAAGGTATAACTACATAACTCTTGAATTAAAATTAAAATTTTGTCATTACTAATAACACAATAACCACTAACTCAATAATTGTAACCAAAGGTATATATTGTACACACTCTAAAAGGGGTGTGCACCATATAAAATTTCCCTAGAGGACTTGGTTAGATAATTATATGCCTTGCCCCATATGAGTTGATACACACTCCTCCACATGTAACCTATCATAAATTGGTATAATTTTATCATAAAATTTTATAACATTAATTACAAAATGCGTAATCTTACCACAAATTAGCTTAACAAAAGATATCGTAACCTAGCCACAAACTTTCATTACATGAACCATAAAATTTTGTACATTTTATTACGCTAATTTGTATTGAGATTCACTACAAAAAAATGCGTCTTTCGCGACCAAAATTGGAGACTAAAAAAAATTTAGTTGCCAAAAGTTGTGGAATTGGTGGCCAAAAATTTTTTTTAGTTGGCAAAAGTACAATATTTAGCTACTAATTTTTTTAGTCGGGGTATATTTATTATTGGCGACTAAAAAAACATTTAGTCATTAAAAATACCAGAATTGGCGACAAAAAAAAATATTTTAGTCGCCGTATATTGAGTTTTGGCTACCAAAACCATTTGTCGTTGAATGTAAAATAAAAAATTATTTTTTTATCTTTGGCGACCAAAAGTTTGGTCGCCAAAAACATATTTTCAACGACAAAAAACATTTAAGTCGCCGAATGTAAAATAAAAAATTATTTTTTTCTTCTTTGGTCGCCAAAAACATATTTTCAGTGACAAAAAAATATTTTGATTGCCAAAAAATTAAAAACTTGAAGGGAGACATTTCAAATGTTGAAGGGATTTATAAAATTAATTGGTGACTAAAAATATTTAGTCGCTAATGGTTTAATATATATCTACTCTTCTTCTTTCCTACCCTCCCTTTTTATCTCTCTCTCCCTCTCTGTTCTTCTTCTTTCCTACCCTTCTTTTTTGCTCGCTCCCGACGCTGCTTTCCAGTTTCTGCCTGTCGAACTCGGATTTCAGTCCTCGATTTCTGCATCTCCTCCCCTCTCCCTTTTTGAAGGCTAGGGTTTCCGATTAAGAACCGCGAAACTGTGCTTTGATTGGCGGTCGAACAACTATTGAACTCACCGAGTTGACTCCTCTGTTCCCTACTACCAACTTCACCACCACCACAGCCACCGTCATCATCATCAACTTCCTCGAATTCTACATCGACGGTGCCGTCTTCTTCTCCTCCCTCATCATCTTCTCTTACTCTCTCTGCTTCGAACCCCATCTGAGCTCTCTAGTACCTCTCTCTCTCTCTCTCTCTCTCTCTCTACATATATATATATATATATATGCTTGTGGGTTTAAATTGATGTTTTTGTCATCATTTCTGTTTCTGGTATATATATGTGTTAAGCTTGATTTTGTGGTTCATGGTTTTTCAGCATTGTTTTGTGGTTGCCTAATTAGAACTCTCTCTCTCTCTCTCTCTCTCTCTCTCTCTCACACACACACACACACACACACACACACATACACACACACACACACATAGAGTAAGCTCTCTCTCGGTGAGCTCTCTCTCTCTCTCTCTAACATTCTGTTTTGGCTTTTCTTGTCATATTGGATACTGTTTTGTGGGTATTGTGAATCACTATGGACATTTCAGTTGAATCTCGGGCATGGATGGAGTATTGTGAATCACTATGGTCATTCCAATGGGGGATTAAACTGTCTGTTCTATTTTTGTTAGCTTAATTAGAATTTTTATGTATTTATGTAATTTTTTCAGACAAAAAAGTTGGAAGCACTCATTAGGCGATTAAAAAGTTCTTCGAAGGCAAGTCTTGTTCACTTGTCTGCTCTTCTTTGATCATTGATAGGCCCATTATTTGAAAATAAAAAATAAAAAAAAAAATACCTTGTGAGCTATATTAACCTTGTCACATCATTTTTGCTCTTATATTCTTAGGGGGAGAAAATTGACTATTCGGTAAAAATACAAGAGTTGCAAAAGCAGCTTGCAATGGACAAAGTGGAGGTTGAGAAATTGCATGTACAATATGGAATAATTGTTTGTTCTCGTAATTGTGTGGAAGCAAAAATTTCAAAATGCTTTGTATTTTTCACTTGCCATACAATGAATCTTGTTAAAAAGTAAAGAGAGAAACTTTTCAATGTTTTCATGAAACTGTATTTATAGCGGTCTCGGTTTTGACCCGACTATTGTTGCATCCCAAACTCGGGTTTCATGGTTTAATATTGTTATCCATGTCTTTTCTTCTTTCCACTCTTTGAGTTTGAGTATTGGGATATTTTGGGCGTGTTTGGGACAGGTTGGTTGCTGGTTAGTCTAGATTGATGTTGCCCAGATTTTGGCTTCTTTGCTCGAGTGAAGCTTCTTGCGCTCGAGCGAGCTTTGTGATCTCCTAGTATTTTTTTTGTCCTGCAGAGATTTTGGGAGGGTTTGTTATTTGCTCAAGCGAGAATTCTTGCGCTCAAGCGATGGTCTTCTGTCTGCAAAACTTATGGGAATTTGTATTCTACGCTCGAGCGACGATTCTTGTGCTTGAGCAAGGACACTTAATGTGTCTGGTCGCTCGAGCGACAACTCCTTCGCTCAAGCGAGCCTCGCGTATATCAGTTTGCAGCAGCTCATTTTTACATCACTTTTTGGTATATTTTACTCAAAAACCCTAGATCAGTTCTCTCTCTCTCTCCTTCTCTCTCTCTAAAATTTGACTTCTCTCTATAAATATACCTAGATTTAGGGATCTCTCTGCCCTACTCTTTTTGATAGAAAGATTGGACATCTCATGGGCTCCCATTTGATCCGAACAAAGTTGAGTTTGGACATTTTTGAAGTTCCTTCACTTCTCCTTTGGGCTTCTACACTTGAGGTAGGATATTTTACATCTTAATATGATTTTTAACCTAGTTATTTGTTGTTATATATAAATGGTGAAATTTTGGTAGTATTTGAATAAACCTAGGGTTTGGATTCAAGTTTAAAAAGAGGGGTTTCTATGTGGTGTTATATAATTGATCATGGGGTTTGGATATGAGGTTTTCTTGTGTTAAAATAGTTGATTATTGGGAGGATGTAAGAATGAATAGTGTAGTTGGATTTGTTTAATCACTCACCTATGGAAATTTAATGAATTATCTGTTATAAAGATTGTATATCTGCTTAGAAATATCTGTATTAGGCTATCGGTAGAGGGTAGCTATAATTGTTGTAGAAATTGCATGAGGATTAAGTAAATTGAAACCAATCATTTAATAGTGTCATTGAATATGACGGTATGTTAAGGCATTGAATATGTATAATTGATAGTCATTGAATATAACGGTACTTTTAAATATATTGTATATGTATAACGTTTTGGGAGAAGAAAGGGGATGTGCTCCATGGTTTGGGAGGAGATAGGGGATGAACTCCATTGAAATTAAGTTGGCCAGAGTGTCCAGGGTGAGTCTCGAAATCATATGTATACATGGGTGTCGATTCCGCGGACGAAATTTTCGTAAAATGACAAGATTGAAGTGCTTGTATAATAGTTATGTTGATTGAGACCCACTGAGTTGTAGTCTCAGTAGGGTTATTCGGAGAATTATAAACTTAGCCTATAAATTGAAATGAAATGAATTGACTTGAAATGAATAAATGGGAATGGATTGAAATGTGAATATCGGTGCCGTGTGGTCATGTGAAGAATGTGCGTTTGTCATAAATATTGAATATATCTCTGACACTTACATCTTAGTAAAACTTCATATATTGTGATAGACTCTTTCTACTGGGTTTTGACTCACCCTACTTGGGAAACCATTTTCAAGTACCGGTGACATGCTTCCTCCAAGGACATAGCTTGGGAGGACCTAAGAGCTGGAGGCTATCTTTTGTTGTTAAAGTGTTTAAATGTTTATTCAAGCCAAGGGATTTATATATACAGAGCTTATGACTCTTTTTTGTTGCAACCAAGCAATGTCTTGGAAAGATGTAAGCCCGTAGGGCATTTATTTTGCTGTTATTAACTGGTGTTACATGCTTTAGATTCAGGATGAACATTTATGAATGTATATTGCATGTATTATCTTTTGTAATATGACCTCTGATGAATGAAAGTATACCAATTCTATTATGCTCACTTCTCTTATGAGTTGGGTTATTTGTATTATTTTGGGGGCGTTATAGTATTTTTGAGTATAATAGGTATTTTTTTTTTTCATAAATACATATGCATATATGTATGTGTGTGTCACTACAGATGTTTTCACATGGTTTGTTTGTTGGCTGTAACTTGTAACTTTCCTGATGTATTTCTCTCCTGATATCATGAAAATTCTCAAACATGTTTTGACAGAAACTTTAGTATTCCTTCTAGCTAACTAAGTTGTCATAGTGTTGGATATAATAATTTACAGCTTCTATAATAACTTAAGCTTTTAGATGAATTGGAACTTGGTAGTTAATATTTGGTCTCTGCCAACCCGAGAATTTAAATACTTGCATTCGTTTGATCTACTCATTTTGGGGATTCTAGCCACCACTGAAGGGGTATGTTGAGGATAAAAGTAGTTATGTTCCACCCTTTCAAGCAGCTTACGCTTTAGATGAGTCAGTTGTTGACAGATAATTAACAGTCATTCTTTGTCTACCTTTATCACAACTTTGTTGTAATCTTAATATTGATATCAGGCTTGAACTGATTTTATTTTTTTATTTGCCTCAATCTCTCAGGGTGACAGGGATAATTTCCTCAATGTAGCACTCAAGGTGTACAACCGTTGTCTGGTTATTGGTGACAAATATGATGTTAGAGTGGTATGTAATTTATGCCCTAACCATCTTCCAAGTTAAATGTCAATTAGCTAATTGCATGATAAAATGGTTAGTGAAGGTCTAAATTAGCTTGAGAATATAAGTTTGACAGTATCCAAAGTATTATGTGTCATTCGTTTTTACATAGTCAAAACTGAAAATGGTCTTAATTTTATATTTCCTGTATAAGCAAGTGGAAATCAGAGCTTCCATTGTTATTGATGCATACCATTGTTATCGAAAAACAGAGCTTCAGATTTTATCTTTCCGAGATCAATAGTCTTTGACCACAAGCTGAAGTCTACCTGAGGGAGTTTCTTGAGCTACAGCATGATATAATTTAGCGCTTTCAAAATACTACAATGTCTTTTTCAATGAGTTTGGTAAATGAATTTGTACTAGTTAGAAATGTAATGGCCAGGAAAATAAGTGTTACTCTAGATGTCTTCATGATCTGTGAGAATAATGGCTGATAACTATGGTTTAACAAGGAGGAAAGAAGAGTAAGTGGAATAAATTCAAAATGGGGGTGTGGGTGGGGAAGAAACACTTGAGGTTTTGAAGATATTTTGTGATTAACTATTGTTAGTGTCTTTGGAACTCAATTGATATCTATGGATTGACAAATCGTTAATTGTTTGATGTTTGAGGATCAAAAGAAAGGTTAAAAGCCCTCCCAAAGCAACCCCTATTGTTGCGAAATTATGAGTTTAGGATTGTATTTTCAAAATAGAAAAAGCAATATGCGGAAAATTTTCATTCCAGGTTTTACGTTTACGTGGACACCAAACTTTATCTATACGTGAAAATTCTAAGTTTAGGATCGTTTTCCCAAAACGCATGAATGGTTTGATTTTCTTTTATATACTCTTCTTGTTTGCTTGATTTGGGTCTTCTAACATGTTTTGTAATTATGTGGTTTAGGAAAACTTGATGTCACAGAGATCACTCCACAGTAATGCAGAGAAGTTTGAATTTCAGGCTGAAGTGTCTCGACTTATGGACATCATTATCAACTCACTTTACAACAATAAAGATATCTTCTTTAGGGAATATATTTGGCATGGTAGTGAACATATTGGTGTACGGAGGACATGTTTTGGTATGATTCACTGTTTTGTATGGAATAATTTTATTATTTTAGATTGGAATATACTTAATTTGTATGAAATTTGGCATTAAAAGTTATTCCTTTTTGGATGGTTGGACGTGAAATGGATGCAAATTGTAGAATGATTGATAATATATGTATTCTTTTATTTATATATATGATACTGGTTGCATGAAATACATACATGTTGTGAACAAATTAATTAAAAAAATAAAATAAAATCATGTTTTTGGCGACTAAACAATTAGTAGCCAAAATGAAGTAAATATTTTTAGTGACTAAATAGTTAATAACTAAAAGTAAAAATAAAATGGAAAAAAGCTTCTGGCTACTAAAATATTTAGTTGCTAAAAATAAAAATAAAAATAAAATGGAGAAAAACTTTTGGCTACTAAATATTTAGTAGCTAAAATAAAAGCAGGCTTTAGGCGACTAAGAGTTTAGTAGCTTAAAAAATAAAATGAAAAAAAAATAAGATGAAAGCCTAAACCCTTAGGCAACTAAAACTTTGGTTGCTGTAGATACTTCAAGTTTTGGCGACCAAAGTTTTAGTAGCCGAATATAAGATTTTTGGCGACTAAAAATATTAGCCACCATTTATAGGACTTTTGGTGACTAAATATTTTTTAGTTGCCAATACCTTCCCCGACAACCTTCCCGCAACCAATCTGGCGACCAAAATATTTAGTAGGGCAATATTTTCGGCAACTAAAGTCGTACTTTTGGCGACTAAAAATTTAATCACCAAAAGTGAAATTTCTTGTGGTGATTACACATTTTGTAATTAATATTATAAAAGTTTGTGATAAAGTTAAATCATTTGTGATAAGATGCATTTGGTACACACCTTACCCCTTAGGATTTCCCAAGTTTGCAAGGCATAGATGTAGCTTGGAAATCATATGATGTATTGTTACAACAACCGTACTTGTTCAGGTGGAGTAAGAGGTTGTTCAAGCCCAAACTCAAGTTATGTTGAGAGTTGTCCAAGTTCGGATTGTAATTCAAGATTATCTTCCCAAATCCAATCCAAATTGAACCCGAATTATCCAAATTGCACATAAATTTTAGTTGTTCTTTTTTCTTTTTCTTTCTTTTTTAGTGCAACTAAGTTATTTAACTTTAATTATTAATACTATCAAAACAAATAATTTATTATAAAATGTAAAAAAAGATATTGTTATAGTGGTCTTTACAATTTATGAGTGATAAAATATTTATTTTTGTGTTGTGTTACTTGTGTGTGTAATATATATTCAATATAATCTAACGATCTAAATTATTTTAATATCATCCAGCGAATAATAATTTCTATATATATATATATATATAATTCGGGTTCGAATTGGTCGAGTTGTTTGACGTCTTTGCCCAAACTCGTCTAAATTTAATTCGGATTTCTAAATTTTTACCTAAACCCCTACGGAATTCAAAAATATTTTGTTTAAGTCCTAAAAGAATTCAAGTTGAACTCAGGTTGTTTAAATTGGGCCTGCACAAGTTACACTCATAAACTTAATTATTATAATTTGAAGAAATTAGAAAAAATTTTGAGAATATTAGGATTGTATTTGAATCATGAATTGAGATAAGCATTTAAAAATAAAAAAATGAAAAGATGAAGATAACATTAATAAAATATAAGTTATCAAAATATATTTTTCAAATTTCTATTTAAATTTTTGATTCCCGATGCAACGTACAAAAAAGGTAAGTAGTGTTTAGTGTGATAAAGATTAGTGTCCATTCCCTACCCAAAGTCAGCAGCTAGAGTTTGAGAGATGGATGGGTTACCTGTCAAGTTATTGTCATCAATATAACATTTTGAGAGCAAGGTACAGTTGCCAATTGCCCTTGGAATGTTTCCCGTCAATTTATTGGTGTTTAGATTAAGCTTTTCCAATGACGAGATGTTAAAGATAAAAGATGGTATGAGACCAGTGACGTTGGCAGATTCCATAGCTAACATCTTCAAACTATGTAGACTACCTAGTTCTTGTGGAATTTCGCCTGCAAAATAATAAATAATTTACGAATTATAGCTGCTTTTCAAATGGGTAAGCAAACATGTAGATTGCACTTTTGGATACGCAAATGATGTACATATATACTCCTTGTGCTCAAGTTTTAGTAATTCTTTTTTAATACTATTTTTGAATCTTGAATTTGTTAAAATAAAGAAAAATAATTACTTATACTTCTTCAATTTTTATGGATAACCAACCCCCCGCCCCCTCTCCCCTTCTAAAAAAAAAAAAAATCCATTTTCTTTCTATTTTCAAAGGCAACCAAAAGGTAGAAAGAAATTTAATTGTATTAAATTGATGCCACATAAAACTTTAGAGTCCACTGTTTAAATCAATCAAAAATTGTAATAAGAATCGGGGGAAGGGATTTGTTAAAAAAAATTAGTACTTTTATTTAATCCATTTTTCTTCCATTTCTTTTACATCCATTAATCTCTTCCCAAATTTAATATTCAAATATATTTTATTTTTTCCAAATCAATAATTCTATGATAATCACATTTATCTATCATATTTTGTTTATTATTTTTAATGTTATTATTGTACTAATAACATATATGAGTAGTGCAACTCATTACTCCAACAAAATATAGTAGACATTATCATCAGGAGTGGAATGGTATATGCATAAAAAAAAAAAATTGAGTTAATTTTGGTAAATTATTAATTGTAGAAAATTTTTTATAGAGTGGCTCTATTTACACCTCAAAAATTAAGTTGGACACCCTAATTTAATAAAACCATTTTATTACTATTAAGTCCTTATTTAAGGAGAAGGATTCTCTTCAGTCCAGGACGAAACTATTGGACCAATGGGGCCCATCACGGGTCCCATTTCGATGATTCAAACCGTTTAATATATAGAGATTGTCGAGTACTTCGTCCTTGCAAAAAATCATATTGATCGGATATCGATAGTCTATGGATCCGAATACATTTTTATGAGCAATTTATTTTAAAAATCTTATTTACCATTAACAAAAATATGATCTGATCAAGGGGTTATTGACATCTGATCAACCGGATTTTTTAGATGGAAGGAGTACTTGACCAAATCTGCATATTGAATGGTTTAGATTATCGAAATGAGACCAATAGTGGACCCGATGAACCCAACAATACTGTTCAATCTACAAAGTAGACTGGAGAGAATCCTTTCCCTTATTTAAAATGACCAAAAAGTACGTAACATTGAAAAAAAGTGGAAATCAACGTGTTTTGGACACTATTCATTATCAGCCCCAATATTTCTTTTCTATCTCTTCTTTTCTTAGTCTCTTCACTTCGGATCTTCATACCTAACTTTATTTGCTTGAATCCATCATTCTTGCATTCTATGTTACATTGAAATCAAAAATGGATAACAAAAAATAAGTTTTCAAGCAATTTTCTATTAATAAAGTAAGTTTTCATTTGATAGTTATCGTTTTCGTTGTTTGATTTACAAACTTTTATTCGGAAACTTATTTCTAAACAAAATTCATATATTCAGCAGCGCGTTTCCAAAATAATGGTCATTGTTAAATATTTTATATCCAAACAAATTGTTTATGTTCGGCTTTGTTTTTCGGAACATTTAATTTTCTAACCTCTTCACACTCCAATTTTGAATAAAAAAAAACCGGTATTATGTTCGGCACTGAGCACCCGAAGAAGCTTTGTAAGTTCGAAATTAAGTATTCGTATATATATAATTTGTTCAATATCCAGATGAAAATGGTGCAACTAATTTTCTATTTTTTTGGAACTGAGTATTCGAACATATTTCATTTGTTCGGCACTAAATATCCGAATAAAACTTCATAGTTTTGGAATTAAGTTTCCAGACATATAGTATGTATTAGATTTGAGGTGTAGAAAGTAGAATTTCTAAATTATTATTGTTATTATTATTATTATTTTTTTTAAGGATTCTAGTAGGTATTACTTGTGGTGTCTAAACAAATAAATAAATATTTAAATTTTAAATTGGGGTGTTCCAAGTACTGGAGTGTCCAATCTAATTTTTAGAGTGTGTTATAAAATTACTTTTTTTTAGATACGCGTTGTGAAAGAAATAGTTATTGAAGCAACACTTAGATACTTGCAATGAAGAAGAGGTTGGGGTTCAACACACATATTATAATAACTTATATGAAGCCATAAGTAAAGATTATAACCAAATGCCACTTAAATATAATTAAAGATTTCTTCTATTATTAACATAATAAAATTATAGAAGATCATAATTAATACTACAACAAGTAATAACTATACTATTACTAATACCATAATGAGACAAAGGTCATAATTGTGAATATGGTATACAACAAAAATAAATAAATAAATTATATTATGAAATTTTCCAAATCTTCTTACTTTGATTATACATGAAATGCGAACCAAACTAAATAACAATAGTAAGTGAAAATAAATCATACCTTTAAAGTTGTTACCACCGAGATATAAAATCTGAAGCAAAGTCAAATTCCCAATTGTTTTGGAATGAAACCAGTGAATTTATTGTAAGATAATGATATGACCTGGAGATCTCTACATTCACCCAGAGTTGTTGGAATTTGGCCATCAAACTCATTCCTAGAAAGACGGAGAAATACTAGTTTAGGATGAAAAACACACATATCTTCCGGAAGACTACCAGACATCATATTATATGTGAAATCAATCCATTGAAGTGATGAGATGTTGAAAAAGGTTGGCGGTATAGACCCCGACAAATTATTAAGTTCCATGCGTAACGTCTTTAGTTTAGGAAGATGACCGATCTCTTCAGGAACTCTTTCCTCTAGAAAATTAGACCTTAAATTGAGATACTCTAATGTTGATATGTTGCCAATGGAAGGTGGAACTCTTCCCGTGAAACTGTTTTTTGCGAGACGCAAGTACTGAAGCTTGGCTAAGTTTCCAAACCATGACGGAACACCACCATCAAAATTGTTGTCACCAAAGTCGACTACATATAGGCGATGCAATCGAGCCAACTCACCGGGAAGATGACCATGGAAAGTGTTGCTGGTGATGTTGAAGTAGGATAGAAATGAGAGGTTTCCAATGTGGGGTGGGATGGTGCCTCCAATACCCATGTTTGGGAGATTCAAGGCCACCACTCTGTAGTGGCGCTTGCCGCAAGAGACACCAATCCAGTCACAAACTGAGGTGGCTGAGGACCAGTTAGTTGCCAATATGTGGTGAGGATGGTCGAAAGTGATACAGGATTTGAAAGCTAAAAGAGCAGATTGATCAGTGGTGGAGTTGGGAACATTCATAGCCAAACAGGGTAAGAAACAGTACTGTGCCAAGGACACTAGAACTACTACTCGTGCAGTTAACCAAGTTTTCTCCATGAAGGCTGAGTGGGATGTATAACTTGGTATATGCAATAATAATAATAATATGGGAAATAAAACGAGAAAGAAAAAAGTGCTATTAAAATAATGAACTGAAACAAAGAAAGAGAAAAGTGCTATTAAGATAATGAACTGAGTCTAGTAGGCAAATTATAAGAAAGAGAAAAGTGCTATTGGTAGTTTTTACATTTTACTTTTTGTGTTATTTTTGTCTATCACATTTCAATTGGTTGAATTTTAATGCTTAATTTAAATTTTGTATTAATTTGATTCAATTGATAACACTGTTTGCCTTGTTTGGTTTTAGAAAATTGAGTTTTGATGAAGTCCTTGGTTTCTTAACAGACGCAAATTAGATTAAAGCTTCAAACTAAGCTTCAATTCAAATACACAGGTCAGATTGTGATTGCTTGAACCAGGTCAGTGTTCTAGGTCAAAGATTGAATGAATCTTAGGCTTAGATGAACTCGATTTTGGCTGGCCAGAGTCATAGAGACCAAGAAGGTGGAGAGAGAGTGGGTGGAGAAGGTGTGAAGATTTAGTTGAGGGTATAATAGTCTGAAAAAATATTTAAATAATAAATTTTGTCCTTTATGCAAGATTTTATAATTATGAAGGGGTTTAGAAAATTTAATTTTTTTCTTAGTCTTTTTAACAATGAAAGGAAGGTAAAGGGGGTTTATAGCCAAACTTCCCTATAACCAAATGCCACTTAAATATAATTAAAGATTTCTTCTATTATTAACATAATAAAATTATAGGAGATCATAATTAATACTACAACAAGTAATAACTATACTATTACCAATACAATAATGAGACAAAGGTCATAATTGTGAATATGGTATACAACAAAAATAAATAAACAAATAAATAAATTATATTATGAAATTTTCCAAATCTTCTTACTTTGATTATACATGAAATGTGAACCAAACTAAATAACAATAGTAAGTGAGAATAAATCATACCTTTAAAGTTGTTACCACCGAGATATAAGATCTGAAGCAAAGTCAAATTCCCAATTGTTTTTGGAATGAAACCAGTGAATTTATTGTAAGATAATGATATGACTTGGAGCTCTCTACATTCACCCAGAGTTGTTGGAATTTGGCCATCAAACTCATTCCTAGAAAGACGGAGAAATACTAGTTTAGGATGAAAAACACACATATCTTCCGGAAGACTACCAGACATCATATTATATGTGAAATCAATCCATTGAAGTGATGAGATGTTGAAAAAGGTTGGCGGTATAGACCCCGACAAATTATTAAGTTCCATGCGTAACGTCTTTAGTTTAGGAAGATGACCGATCTCTTCAGGAACTCTTTCCTCTAGAAAATTAGACCTTAAATTGAGATACTCTAATGTTGATATGTTGCCAATGGAAGGTGGAACTCTTCCCGTGAAACTGTTTTTTGCGAGACGCAAGTACTGAAGCTTGGCTAAGTTTCCAAACCATGACGGAACACCACCATCAAAATTGTTGTCACCAAAGTCGACAACATTTTAGGCGATGCAATCGAGCCAACTCACCAGGAAGATGACCATGGAAAGTGTTGCTGGTGATGTTGAAGTAGAATAGAAATGAGAGGTTTCCAATGTGGGGTGGGATGGTGCCTCCGATACCCATGTTTGGGAGATTCAAGGCCACTACTCTGTAGTGGCGCTTGCCGCAAGAGACACCAATCCAGTCACAAACTGAGGTGGCTGAGGACCAGTTAGTTGCCAATATATAGTGAGGATGGTCGAAAGTGATACAGGATTTGAAAGCTAAAAGAGCAGATTGATCAGTGGTGGAGTTGGGAACATTCATAGCCAAACAGGGTAAGAAACAGTACTGTGCCAAGGACACTAGAACTACTACTCGTGCAGTTAACCAAGTTTTCTCCATGAAGGCTGAGTGGGATGTATAACTTGGTATATGCAATAATAATAATAATATGGGAAATAAAACGAGAAAGAAAAAAGTGCTATTAAAATAATGAACTGAAACAAAGAAAGAGAAAAGTGCTATTAAGATAATGAACTGAGTCTAGTAGGCAAATTATAAGAAAGAGAAAAGTGCTATTGGTAGTTTTTACATTTTACTTTTTGTGTTATTTTTGTCTATCACATTTCAATTGGTTGAATTTTAATGCTTAATTTAAATTTTGTATTAATTTGATTCAATTGATAACAATTTTTGCCTTGTTTGGTTTTAGAAAATTGAGTTTTTTTTTTTTTAGTAAAAAAAAATTAATAATTTAAGAATATTTTTATTTTTTAGATGCATCTAATCTAGATATACTTAAAAAGTATAATATTTATGAATTTTTTTAAAAAAATTCATCAAATATGAAAACTCAATATATTTTTGTATTCTTGTGTATTTATTAAAATTTCAAAATATGTTTTCCAAAACATTTTTCTTGTTAGGTGCATTTAAGTCATGTGCATTTAGAAAGTAAAAAACTTTACTTAAAATATTTTAAAAAATCAATAAAAAAATTTGAAAAACAAAAAGTTCAATTTTCAAATCAATCAAAACCAAACAAGGTGGTTAGTGTTTTTGATGGAAAATGATCACGGAATTAGTTGAAATTAACCTAATGGATTTAATATATTTATAATTTTACCTTTAAAATATGACACATATCACTTATATGCATATTTTTTTGTTAAAAAATATTAACAATTGTAAATAATTAAATTAAATTAAAATAAAATAAAAAATTTAGAATTAAAATCAAATCAACTAAAATTAAACAAGGTGGTTAGCGTTTTTGATGAAAAATGATCACGGAATTGGTTGAAATTAACCTAATGGATTTAATATATTTATAATTTTACCTTTAAAATATGACACATATCACTTATATGCATATTTTTTTGTTAAAAAATATTAACAATTATAAACAATTAAATTAAATTAAAATAAAGTAAAAAATTTAGAATTAAAATCAAATCAACTAAAATTAAAAGAATCAAAATGATGGGAGTAATTATGCTATACTTGATCATTATTATTTCATAAACCTGCACTACTAGAACATCATGGCCCACTCTAAGCTCTAAAGTCACGCTAAAGTCTAACACGACACCCAGCAATCATTATTATTTCATAAACCTGCACTACTAGAACATCATGGACCCACTCAAGCTCTAAAGTCACGCTAAAGTCTAACACGACACCCAGCAATGGTTTACATCCTGTTCATTGTATGGTTGTAATGGAATGAGATAAGATTACCCAGTAAAGTTATTTAGCCTCCGTTTGGGAAGTGGGTTGATTTTTTGGTTTTTTGACTTTTTTGACTATTTTAGCCTGGGCTTAAAAGCTTGGTTTGGGAAGGACTTTTTGACTTTTTGACTTTTTTGAGCTTTTTTGTGAGAGAAGAATGTAATGATTATGGGTTGGATGTGATGTTTTGTTTGTTATGGCTAAAATAGCCTATTTTATTTTTTGTGGCTAAAATAGTCAAAAAAACCCAAACCATGGCTTTCCAAACGAAGCCTTAAATTTCAAATTGTCACAAGTCTTTCGTTTGGAATTCTCAAGGCCTCAATCAAAGCCTCAATCAAAGCACACTTCCTCCTCCCTTCATGAGTTGCCGTGGGCATAGGATAAGAGGACGGTGTGTGCCCATTTTGTATTCTTTCTTATTTTTAATCCATTATTGAATTAGCCCAAAATAAAATAATAATAAAAAAAAAACTAGCTTTTCTCTAGTTGGAGAAAAAATACAATTCAATTCTACGGTTTTATGAGATTTATCACGGGTCATACTTCAATAATTTATTAAAATTAGATAAGTTGGCTTCTCTATTTATTAAAAAAAAAGTACAAAAAAGTAAAAAAATGATATAACTAAAATAAATCAATAAGTTAATAAACAACTTATTTATATGTTATCTAAAAAATGCCTTATAAATAGAGATGTTTCACTAATTTATATATATATATATATACATATTTAAAAATTCTTGTATTAAACTAGCCATTCAAAAATTTGAAGCGTGGGTTTCGCAATATTAAGACATTTTGCCTCCGTTTGAGAAGTGAGTTGGCTTTTTGGCTTTTTGGCTTTTTTGGCTATTTTAGCCTGGGCTAAAAAGCTTGGTTTGGGAAGGACTTTTTGGCTTTTTGGCTTTTTTGACTTTTTTTGTGAGAGAAGAGTGTAATGATTATGGGTTGGATGTGATGTTTTGTTTGTTGTGGCTAAAATAGTCTATTTTGTCTTTTGTGACTATTTTAGCCCCAACCCAACTTGCCAAACACCACCTTTGTCTACATTTTCTTTTGTTTTTCCTCTTCTTTTTCCTCTTTAGGGCTGTCTTCCATGTCCTGTTTTGGGGTAAAGACTTGAGGGAAGACTTTGATAAGTCATTCGAGAGTGATCGTCAACAGTACAAAAGATGCTCTCAATTTTCCATTTGATCAGATGTTGCCGCGTCAAAAGGAAAGTAAAGGAATGGCCTGGATGAAATCAAATAAGTTGGCTTTTCTATTTATTAAAAAAAAAATGTATAAAAAATAAATAAATAATATGATTGAAATATATTAATAAATTAATAAATAATTCATTTATATGTTCTTCAAAAGAAACCTTAGTCATTTATAATTTTAAAATAATAAAGAATGATCCTAATCTAGTATGATTCTTATGTTTAGATTATAAATTTGAATAGATATTTTTAAAAAAATAAAAATACAAACAAAATATAAATGAAATATAATTATATTTTACTATTTTTTCACTTTCTAATTTAAATTTTTATCCCAAATTCATAATTTAAATACCACCTCTCACACGTTGATTGATAATCGTCCATCTCTATCGAATTTTAATATCACAAAAGTAGATATAGTCCTGATTCAATAGGTCAGGCGTACTTACTGGCTCTTCTTCTTAAGTGTGGTACGAACTATTGATCTACCTCATTGGAAGTAATCAATTAGGCCTTCGCTTGATATCTGGATTGACTTTTTAATTTTTTTTAGTTATTTTAAATTGAGATTAAAAATTTTTATTTGTAATAGATTTTTTAATTTTTGTGAGAAAAAAAAAATAATTATAATTTTAATATAACATTTTGTCTTATTAATTTTTTACTGTATGTTATCTTTTTGTTACTATTTTAACCCAAAACCAACCTGCCAAACATAGCTTAGATTGATCCAATTTGATTGTTTGCCACGGTTCCATTATTAATTAATATATAAAAGTACAAAACTTGTGCAATTTTTTTTTAAAAAAATCCATTGAATACAAAATAAATAAAAATAAAACTTAATATATTTTTATATTTTTTATTTTTAATGAATGTTTTGAAAGATTTTTGTATAATTTTTTGTAGATTAAGTGGATCTAAAAAGTTAAAAAAAATAATAATTAAAATATTTTTAAAAAGTTACTAAAAATAAAAAATACAAATTAAAAACTCATAAAACCATTTTTAAAAATTCCAAACCAAACCATACCAAAAAATTTATTTTGTATTGTATGTATTTTTTTTTTATAGAATATACATACAGATATATATATATATTAAAATTTCTTAATTTTTAAAGGTACACGTTAGTTATTATTATTATTTTCTTGAGAATTTGCAATTTTCCAACATAGAGTTATGGCTGGATGTCAAAAAAAAATTTGTTTGGGGTACTATGGGCTAAAATAGTAATATAGGATAAAATTAGTTATTTTAGTCAAATAGGATAAAATGTCACATCTAACTTATAATTATTTTATTTTTTTTTTTACAAAAGTTTTAAAAATCAAAAATCTCATCTTAAACGAGATTTTTTTAGTCCCAAGTTAAAAACCCAAAAGCTAAAAAACTAATCCACATCCAAACCGAAGGAAAAAGTAGCGATAAAAACATCACATCAGTAAATAATAATATTCAATATTAAATTACTCAAACACTAGCAATTATTATAGGAAAAATTACTCATAAATCTCATTTAGAGAAAAATTATTCCATTTAGTCCTAGAAGTTTTTTTTCAAACTAATTAGTCAGTTTTATTTTGGGTATGTTGTATTTCCTTGATTTGGAGGTTTTGAAGTTTACTTGTTTGCCCTTGTGTGTGATTTTGTTTAGATTTTTTTTTCTAATGTTGGATGTGTGTGGGTAAGGTAAATTTTTACGTTTCTATTTTTATTTTATTTTTTTATTTTATTTTTTGGGGAAGAGGGGGTTTAGTGGAATGATTTGTAGGTGGATGATGTTACCCCATTTGTGGTGTTACTGGTGTGATGTTTGTATCTTTTTGTGATGTTCGTCCCTGTTATAACATTGATATTAATTAACATCTAATTGACTTAAACTACAAACTAACACTACTATATCCCTAATAACCATAACAATGTCAACAAACATGGCCCGTTTCACGTGTACAAAATACATGTTAATACAAACATCACAATGACAACATGCGACTAACGAAAAGTACAACATTACACAACACAATCATTGTTTAGCAATACAAAGTTATACTTACTTGCCAAATGACATCTACGCATACAGACTCTACAACCGAACAATGACCATACCACCAAAACCCCAATATACTTTAAACCCACATTATCATTTACATACAACAACAATACGATGCGAACCTAGAACATTACCGACTCAACATTACATATAAAAATAGGCAACGATGTCGACAACACAATCAGAATATTGATCAAAGAAGTAAAATATCAATATTGAAACATATACTTGAAGCCGCCGCCAACGCAATAAGAAGTGTACACACGCTGTTATACGTCGGTAACATCAACCCAACGACGGAATAATGTAGTTCTCAATCCTAATCATTGTATTGATAGAAATGGTGTGTTTCTAGGGTTTGGAAGAAACTGTAGGAATTTTCCATTCACTCGGTAATGGTTTTGAGCAACCAAATATACCACGTGAATCACAACGCGGCATAGAACGCGTTACCACTTTGACCCGAGTAAATCGACACTCGGGGCCCACCTAAAAAATAGACCGAACTTAGGAAAAAATCCTGGTTTTATCCAGAATTTTATAACCATTCCAACAGAAACCAAACGTT